GCGGAGTATATAATATATCGAAAATCCGAGTTATGAAGAAGTAGTTCAGATAATAAATAAACTAAAAAACAATAAAGCACCAGGAACGGACGGAATTTCAGGAGAATTATTAAAGAATGGAGGATCCGAACTCTAGGAAAGAATCCATTACCTAATAACATTAATATGGACGAAGGAGCAAATGTCAGAGGAATGGACAGTTGGCCTCATACAGCCAATATATAAAAAAGGAGATAAGAGGGAATGTCAGAATTATAGGCCAATTACATTGCTAAATGTAATATACAAAATTCTTTCTGGTATAATCTACAATAGATTATTAGAATACTCCGAAAATATAATTGGTGATTATCAAAATGGATTCAGAAAAAATAGAGCCACTACAGATAACATATTCATACTAAGAACGATACAAGAAAAAGCTTATGAATACGACATAGACCTATATAATAATATGTATATAGACTTTAAACAAGCTTTTGATAGTGTGAAAAGAGACAGAATGCTGGAAGACCTTTGTAATCTAGGTATACCTAAGAAATACATCAGCCTCATAAAAATGACGTTGCAGGGTTCAAAAGCCGCAGTCAGAGTAGATGGAGAACTGACTCCTCTGTTTAACATCAACATGGGAGTAAGACAGGGAGATGTCCTATCAACCATGCTATTCAACCTAGTTCTTGAGGCAGTCATCAGAAAAACCAATATAACCGGCCATATAAACACCAAATCAGTACAAATTACTGCATATGTAGACGATGTAGCTATCATTAGTAGGAATAAGCCACGACTAATGGAAGTGTTCAAACAAATTGATCCTGAAGCAAGAAAAAGAGGTCTCAAAATAAACGAAGCAAAAACGAAGTGTATGACAGTCAAAAGAATAACTGACAATGAAAATAATATCACAATAGATAACTATACTATCGAACGAGTGGATGCCTTTACATATCTCGGCACAGAAATCAATCAGAAGAACTCCGTAAGTAGCGAAATTAATGCACGTATTTCCAGCGGGAATCGTACATACTATGCTAATAAAAGATTAATGACATCGAAATTATTAGACCAAAGAACCAAAATGACTATCTACCGAACACTGAATAGACCCGTAGTAACCTATGGATGTGAAACTTGGGTAATGACGAAAAAAGATGAAGCCCACCTCAGGACATTCGAGAGAAAAATACTGAGGAAAGTATATGGCCCAGTACAAGAGGAAAATGGCACATGGAGAATCAGAAGAAACGATGAGGTTAATGAGTTAAATGAAGGTTATGACATTGTAAGATTTGTGAAAAGTCAAAGACTGTCATGGCTGGGACATGTGCAGAGACAAAACGATGCAAAAACAACAAAGAAAATGTTACAATGGAAGCCCATAGAAAGGCGAAAAAAAGGAAGGCCCAGAACGAGATATTTGGATGACGTGGAAGACGACCTGAAATAATGAACATAAGACAATGGAGAAGATGGCACAAGAGAGATCTGAATGGAAGGACATAGCCAGACAAGCAAAGACCCATCCAGGGTTATGATACCAAAAGAAGAAGAAGAAGAAGTTATTAATGACGGTAGTTTTACATCGGGTAATAGTTCCTTTTTTGTATTGCGGGATATAAATTGTGGTACACCAATGAGATGGCCAATTTCTTAAATTTCAAACAGTCACACAGATCGAATGGATTATGTAATCTTTTGTTGCCTAGTAATTGTAGTATTTCACCTGGTATTGAATCAATGCCTGGGGATTTATTTTTCTTTAGCGATTTAATTGCATCTTTGACTTCAGCAAGTAAGACGGTAGGTTCTCTAGGGTAGTCTGAGGGCCATTGATTTTTTGCTGGTACCTCGTTATTTTTATATACTAGCGTCGCCATGTTTCCAATATTTCGTCAGTATCGGTCTTTAGATTACATTTCTTATCCATTACAGAATGAACTATCTTACAAGTTAAGTTGTCCCAGGAACGCAACTCAACAATATTGACAATATCATTTTAAAGTCGTCTACTTTAAAATGTATAACGTATGTCTGAATTGTCAATATAAATGAGTCAGATACAATTAAATTATTAGAAGAATTTTTCACCAAGTAACATCAACACAAAATTTGTTAAATTTACTAATGTTTGTATTTTGAGAACGATTTCCGAAGTGAAAATTGAAACGTCAATAGAACCTTTAATTGTGGCTTATTCCCATTTAAATAGTAATTACCATCACACCTTGGCATTCGGTAGCATATTTCACACCAGCCGACCCGGAACCGCGATGGCGCCGAGAGTAATGGCTCCTCTACACATCGGCAGACGCGTCCGCGTACGACATCAACGTATGCATCTGGAGATGTGTAGATGGGGTAATTTGATCATATGTTGTTTATATATCAGGTCCGCGGATGCGTCTGAAGATATTCGATTGTTGTCGGTTTTTTTAGCACAGATCAAAGGGTTTCGGAGCGGACGTCCGACGCATTTCCACACATCTGATCTCTGACTGCTTCTTTTCCATTTTTTTTAATGATTCTATTTTGATGTGCACTCAAGTAGTAGTTGAACGTTCTAAATAGGCATATGTAGCTGCGGCAGCTATGGTTTCAAAATCAACATCCATTTTTTTAATGCTCGCGTAGATATTGCGTCTCCCGGGAATTAACACAGACTGAACGATATACAGATGTGTCCAGATGTGTGGTCAGCTTGTGATGATACATCTGCAGATGCGTCCGCAGACGCTTCTGCCGATGTGTAGTTGAGGCATAAGTAGTGTCGCTACACATTTCATCTTCACTTACTGTGATAATATTAACTTTAACTTAAAAATATCCGTCAGAAAAATAATAGTATATGACAACTACACGGAATAATGACAGTAAAATTATCTCGTTAGTGATCCCATAGTAAATCCTAAGTAAAAAACCAGAAAAAAAACTCATGATACTACGTTGATATAAGTATTTGGTATTACATTTAGTTTATTCTCAATATTAACATCAAACTCTAATTTTGTATGTATGTGATTTAAAACCTAAATGAGATATAGTTGTGGTATTGACTTGCTGGTATTTTCTTTTTATCGATTTCTTTTTTTAATATTAGTGATCAAATCGTATTACATTCTACCGAAGAATTTGCAAATCAGTTGGTTTCATTTAATATAATAAAAGCAGCCTCTTTGGATTTTCTCTTTTTACCATCTATTTATTTTAGGAATCGTTCCACTAAATTATATGTTCAATTTCCCGTAAGTGTTTACATATCTGAGATCTAACAAATTCTCTATTTGTGATATGTTTATTGTTCACTTGCTAATAAAAAATGGACGTCTCACTCACAATATTATTTTATAAATACAATCCTTAGTTCTTTATTATTCGTTACTAGGTTTTGTTTTAGATAAAATATATCTCAATGTGTTTGTTTTTTGAATGTTGTTGACATTGTGAATTTATTTTTCATGCTTTTAAATTTTCTGATAGTCCTTTTATGTATTGTATTGTTATTTTCCTCGTTTCTTGTCTTATGAATGTTACCTTGATTTTTGTTCGATTGTCTCTAGTCTGCATAATTCCTTATTTATAAACGAATATATATCTTTTTACCAAAATAGTTGTTACCAAATGTTTCTCCTCCCAGTACGAAAAATTTTATTTTCTATCATGATTGATGATTCCCTCTTTTATATTTACCTTTGGGTTTGATTTGTAATTTGGTTATTAGTTCGGTGTGTGCTGGTTAAATATATGTGTGGAAGGAAAGAGATATTGGTCGAAAGAAACTTTTATGGCTGCGTAATATTAGACAATGGTGTGGTTTCACAGTAGAAAAATTATTTCGCGCAGCAGCCGACAGAGAAAGGTTTTAGGAAATTGTAAACATGATGACGGCTAACGTCTGAACGGTCACCAATAGAGAATAAGGTTAAATATATATATATATATATATATATATATATATATATATATATATATAAGAGTAAGAAAAAAGAAGTACTTGTGACTCGTTTGGGAAAAAATATAAAACTGTTTTTGATGGGTTGGAGTCAATAAAAGGGGCTATTTGTTCACTATTTTTTACTCGAGCTTTCAATTGTGATTACAATTTTTATCAAGAGCTTCTAAAAAATACAAAATATCTTACAAAGTTGAACTAGAAATAATGTTAACTCACCAAATAAAATTAGTTTTTTATATAAAACTACTGCTTACATATTAAATACAAAAAATATTAATAAAAAAATGTCTTATTCTAATAAATGTTTCTCTGAAAAATTTCTTAAGAAAAAAATTGAATTTGTAAACAAAAATAGAATAGCTACAAACCAGCCTAAATGTCATACATACTAACTTAAAAATTTTTATTTTTGACATATTGTCAAAAATAAAATTTTGTTTAAAAAATTCTTCTTTGTTTAGTAACAGAGAAAGAAGATTTATTCACCATTGATAGATGCACGAAAAAATGTAACAAATACATGGAAAATTCAAGATGTGATATTTTACTGACTGCATATATAAATTAAATAGAAATTATATAATTATAAATTTTGCTTAAATTTTGAATTTCTGACCTTTTGTTTAAATTATTATCACTTTTGCTAATACAAACCATTTCCAAAACAGTTCTTTTAAATTTATTACTTTCATTACATAAAATTTTAATATTATCAAAATCCATAATATGGTCTTTGTCTATTACATGCTTTGCCAAAGCACAAGATGGTTTCTTAATTCTTATTTCTCACAAGAGTGATTGTAGAATTAAGAAACCATCTTGTGCTTTGGCAGAGCATGTAATAGACAAAGACCATATTATGGATTTTGATAATATTAAAATTTTATGTAATGAAAGTAATAAATTTAAAAGAACTTTTTTGGAAATGGTTTGTATTAACAAAAGTGATAATAATTTAAACAAAAGGTCAGAAATTCAAAATTTAAGCAAAATTTATAATTATATAATTTCTATTTAATTTATATATGCAGTCAGTAAAATATCACATCTTGAATTTTCCATGTATTTGTTACATTTTTTCGTGCATATATCAATAAATCTTCTTTTTTTGTTACTAAACAAAGAAGAATTTTTTAAACAAAATTCTTTTTTGACAATATGTCAAAAATAAAAATTTTTAAGTTAGTATTTATGACATTTAGGCTGGTTTGTAGCTATTCTATTTTTGTTTACAAATTCAATTTTTTTCTTAAGAAACTTCATCAAAATTTTTCAGAGAAACATTTATTAGAATAAGACATTTTTTTATTAATATTTTTTGTATTTAACATGTAAGCAGTATTTTTATATAAAAAACTAATTTTATTTGGTGAGTTAACAAAAAATTTTTTATTTCTAGTTCAATTTGTAAGATATTTTGTATTTTTTAGAAGCTCTTGATAAAAATTGTAATCACAATTGAAAGCTCGAGTAAAAAATAGTCAACAAATAGCCCCTTTTATTGACTCCAACCCATCAAAAACAGTTTTATATATATATATATATATATATAATATATATATATATATATATATATATATATATATATAATATAATGGTAAAAGATATCGGCATAGCTCGCAAGTAAGGAAAAAAAAAATAAAATATGTGTATCAGATGGAAGACAACCGTATATACGTATTTCTAACTATGGTCGTTTTAGTATGGTGCAGATAAGTTAGAAAAAGAACATATTAACTTGAGAAAGGATCACTACACCAGCTATGCGACTAATTTGTGACAATAATGCTAGAAGACTCTGAGTTTTCCAGAGCAACAAAAAACACATCCACATAGGAAGCTAAGCTACCTGAGGAAAGGAATGCCAAACGTTTAGAAAGTTTCAAACAACAAGAAAAATGTTAAAGCGAGTTGATAGTAAAATAAAGGTAAAAGATATCGGCATAGCTCGCAACAAAGGAAAAAAAATATAATAAAATATGTGTAAAAGACCAATAGTCAGAAAAACGTATATACGGTATAGGGATACATTTTTAGGAGAAAACAAATTGTAATTGTAATATGTTTTTCACACTGCATATTTTTTTTTCAAAACTCTGTGGAATTTGAAGATACTATCTTTAAGTGTATAATTAAGTACAATTATTATATTTGCATTTTATCTTTTTCTGATAACTAAGAATTTTCTTATAAATACAGATCACTCTAGCTATACATTTATACAATTTGTATGTGCTAAAAACACAATGTTAAAAATATTAATTGTGACGTTAGTCCTTTGGGCTGGTGTCAGTTGCGATAAGGGTAAGAAATCATTTTATATTATTTAAACAAAATTAACAATATTTACTTCATATACAAAGTTACAAAACTATGAAATTTTAATCTTAATTAATTTTCTTATTTTATCAAGGTAGTTTATTATTGATCATAAAATCTAATATTTTTTCAGATGTCAACAATGACCTAAGTGACGTAATTTTATCTAGTTTTGAAGATGACAAAATATTGCTTCCCTCCTTAGTATCTTCTGAACATCTTAACAAGATAAAATTGTCTAATGATGCCGAAGAAGGTGATTCAATAGACTCTAGGCCAACAAGACCACCACCACCCAGTAGCAAACGCCCTGGACCACCCGGACCTCCACCAAGCAGACGTCCTAGACCACCAGGCCCTCCACCAAGCAAACGTCCTGGACCACCCGGACCTCCACCAAGCAGGCGTCCTAGACCACCAGGCCCTCCACCAAGCAAACGTCCTGGACCACCCGGACCTCCACCAAGCAGACGTCCTAGACCACCAGGTCCACCACCAAGCAAACGTCCCGGACCACCCGGACCTTCACCAAGCAGACGTCCTAGACCACCAGGCCCTCCACCAAGCAGACGCCCCAGACCACCAGGCCCTCCACCAAGCAAACGTCCTGGACCACCCGGACCTCCACCAAGCAGACGCCCCAGACCACCAGGCCCTCCACCAAGCAAACGCCCTGGACCACCCGGACCTCCACCAAGCAGACGCCCCAGACCACCAGGCCCTCCACCAAGCAAGCGTCCTGGACCTCCCGGACCTCCACCAAGCAGGCGTCCTAGACCACCAGGCCCTCCACCAAGCAAACGTCCTGGACCACCCGGACCTCCACCAAGCAGACGTCCTAGACCACCAGGTCCACCACCAAGCAAACGTCCAGGACCACCCGGACCTTCACCAAGCAGACGTCCTAGACCACCAGGTCCTCCACCAAGCAGACGCCCCAGACCACCAGGCCCTCCTCCAAGCAAACGTCCTGGACCACCGGACCTCCACCAAGCAGACGCCCCAGACCACCAGGCCCTCCACCAAGCAAACGTCCTGGACCACCCGGACCTCCACCAAGCAGACGCCCCAGACCACCAGGCCCTCCACCAAGCAAACGTCCTGGACCACCTGGCCCTCCACCAAGCAGACGTCCTAGACCACCAGGCCCTCCACCAAGTAAACGTCCTGGACCACCCGGACCTCCACCAAGCAGACGTCCTAGACCACCAGGCCCTCGACCTAGCAAACGCTCAGTATCACCAGATGGGTCCTTTTCTTAGTTTCTAAATGCAAAACAATAAAAACTTAAAACTTATTAATACAAACTTGAATTTTTTCGTTATACCTTCCGTAATAACAGCAGAATTACCTATATATACCTATATATATATATATATATATATATATATATAATATATATATATATATATATATATATATATATATAGAATTACATTCGTCATCAAATACACTTATTACCAAAAATTATTTCTGTTACGAATAACTTCCATTTAACACAAATCGCGAGCCGAATTCCAAAGTTGAGTAGCAGTGCTGAATAAACAATAAAATGCTGTATACAGTAGATGTTTATATAACAGAGAATTAATAGTATAGTAGATGAATTTTCTTATATATGAATGTGAACTATTTTTATTTAACCCAGATTTTTTTTTTATTGAGTTTAATGCGTCGACAACTAATGATCATTGGCATGATACAGAGAATTTTTACAGTTAGGTACCTAGTGTACCTCCGGTCCCTCCGGTGAGTACCGATCGCCCAAGGATAGAAATGATTTTCATTCATTAATATTTAATAAACGAAAATTTCTCCACCCAGGTGAGATATTTACATATATGAAGAAATTGGAGATAGAAGATATAGCGCAAACAATGACGCAAGTTAGATTCGTGAATACTGGAGCGACTGGTATAAGACGACAGCAATCATTTGCATTAAGTTTTAGAGACGTGGAGGATAGCATAAGATCATTTGATGGAAAAGACAAATATCCTATTCGCACGTGGATTATCGAAATTGAAAAAGTAGCTGAGATAACAGGGTGGAACAACCTATAAAAATTAATCTATATAAAAAAATGTTTAAAAGAACTTGCTAAATTGTTTGTGCAGTCAGAAAAAGGTATCAGAAGTTGGCCTGAATTGAAGACACGTTTAATAGAAGAATTCGGAGCACATAATTGATGGAATACAAGACGAATCATCCAAAACATTTTGCAGAGTTTAAGGAGAAAATTAAACTGTATGAGAGGATACAGGGTAAGAAGACTACTGGACAAGCTCAAGGCTTTAGAGCAAATAAAGAAAATTTAAAAAAAAAAACGAAGACATCGTTAGAAAGGAAAAAAGAGAGAAGAACGACGTGAAAAGAGAAAACAACATTACTTGTTTTAATTGTGGAAGTAGAGGTCATAAATCTTAGGATTGCCCAGATAAGTCTAAGGGAACGAAGTGCATTGGTTGCAACAAATATGGGCATGTTTCAAGTAAATGCCCCAGTAAAAATTCGATGAAGGCTACCACAGAAAACACAGCTTTAAATGTAATTGAAGTTCAGCGAAAAACGGCGGTTAAGCTTACAATTAATCAGATCACACTAACAGCTTTATCTGACACCGGAAGTGATATATGTACGATAAGAGAAGATGTTTACGATAAATTATTTTAACGATATTTGTTTAACACCCGACATCATAATTTTGAAAGGCTTAGGACAAATTTGTTTGGCTTTACCGACGAAGTCAACAATGATGAAAGAAGTTATAAGTTGACTTAAAAAGCAACGATGAATATTTGGAAACTCTTTTCGAGTGATAACCGATCAAGGTACAGCATTTCGATCAGACGAATTTGTAAAACATTGCCAAGAAGAAAACATTCAACATGTCTTAGTTACAACTGGAGTACCACGAGGAAACGGTCAGGTTGAACGAGTGAATAGAACAATTATCCCTGTTCTTACGAAATTGAGTTTAGAAGAACCTACGAAATCGTATAAAAATGTTGACAGCGTACAAAATGCATTGAACTCTACCTATCAACGAAGTATAAGTACTACACCTTTCGTAGTATTGGTTCGTAGTATTTCGTAAAAATAAAAAATAAAGAAAACACTTGAATCAGAAAACTTATAGAGGAAGAGGTGATTAAAATACATGATGAAGAAAGAAAAGTACTTCGAGAAAGATGTAAAGAACAAATATTTAAGGTACAAGCTGAAAAATTTATAAGGAGAAAGAAAATGAGCAAAAATTTATAAGGAGAAAGATTTAGTTGTATTAAAAAGAACCCAGTTCGGCCCAGGACTTAAACTCAAGAGAAAGTTCTTAGGTCCTAATTCCAGAGTTAAGTAGGATTGCTGAATAAACAATAAAACGCTGTATATAGTAGATCGACGGGGGTCTAGTACAGTGTCTAAGTAGAGCACTCAAGACGAATGGTTGATATACATATGACGGCATCTCATATCTAAACGACGTACAACGAAAGTCGTATTCATATTTTTGCTATAAGTTGCGGTTCTATTTTAAGTTATAGTTACTGTTTACATTAGTTAGTTCTAAAGTCCTGTAATTTATGAGTTAAATAATAAAGTGATTGTTCTAATTCGAATAGACCCGTGACCTATAATTATTAAACCCTAGACAACAAAGAAAAACCCCACATTGGTATATCCTAGTCAAGACTAATTTGTCCTTAGCCCAATGGGATAAACCAGTTTAGG